CTCTGGTACAGCTGACAGCCAGACCACAGACCCCTATTGTGAGTGACTGTGAAGTCTTGAATCCTGAGGCATCAACCCTCTCCTCTGACTCTGTTTAATGTCAGCCTAAAAAATTCAAAGAACATATATCTTCGCAGCTAAATATCTGTACTAAAAAAATACATAATCATAAGGATTCCACTGTTTGTAACAGTGGAGGAAAAAAAACAATCAAAAGTCTCAATAGAAAAATTATTATAAATATCAAGTCAGTACATTGTACACCTAAAGCTACTAGAATGTCAATTATACTTCAATTTAAAAAATAAAATAATAAATATGTATGTACACATAGAGATGTCTAAAATGTAATAAGAAGTGGGGGGAAAGCAAAAAATATATGATCCCATTTATGAAAAAAATTTATATTTCCAGGTGCATTATAAACATTTTATGTATTTAAAAAGTCTGGAAAGAGAGACTGATAACCCAAGGAAGGAGAGATGAAGGAACTTTCACTTTATCTGTACTGTGTAAATTTTCTACATTTGTGTTTTACCTATGTAATTAAACACGAACTAATTAATTTTTTTAAAAACCTGGAAACTACTATATGTATTTTAAAAGCCATTTATATAATAAATAACTTTTATCTCACCTGTCTCAGGCTTTAGAAAATATGGTAGGTACACATGGCTTTTGCTCTCCTGGGTCCTGCTACTCACTGCGCCCTCTGCTGGTCTGATGCTGCTACTGATGCCAAGAGTTTATAAAATGTGCAGGATGTTCTATGACCAGCTTGGACAGCAAACTGCTTATTCCCTTTGATTAGCTTGGGCTTTCGGTAAGAGAATAGAACTCAAACAGAAGGGTATTTCCTTTGGTCTATCCTGAGTCACCCCATGACACATATACGCATTAATATTCTCAATCTGCTAACTTTTAAACCAGATATCAAGAAGCTCATGTACAGCCGAAACCGGTTTGGCTCAGTGGATAGAGCGTCGGCTTGCAGACTAAAAGGTCCCAGATTCGATTCCAGTCAAGGGCATGTACCTGGGTTGCGGGCACATCCCTAGTAGGAGATGTGCAGGAGGCAGCTGATCGATGTCTCTCTCATCGATGTTTCTAGCTCTCTATCTTTCTCCCTTCCTCTCTGTAAAAAATCAATAAAATATATTTTAATAAAAAGAAGCTCATGTACAGCTTTCTTTGATAGTTTTGGTGTCAAATTTCTATAAAGCAGACATCAGTCCTTCGTAAGTCAACACGGAGAACTAGAAATACAACCGTCACGCTGTGAGTTGTGGCTGGGAATATGCACTGAGGCTAATGTGGTCTTGGGCGAAGTGGGAGCTGGAGAGGCATAGAGAGCAGTGGGCTGGACCAGGCCTAGTGCTAGCTCACCAGCAAGCACACTGAGTAACCGGCAACTTCCGCCTGGCCTTGATTTTCACATGCATGGATATGAGTGCAGTTAGGAAAAATCTGAAGCTTCCTTTGAGCTCTGGCCAAAAGTCTCAATAGAAAAATTATTAAATAAACCATAGAACATTCATCCAATGGAATCCAAGGCAGCAACTTTTTCAAATAAAATAATATTATTGTAACTATGCATGATGACAAATGTTAACGAGATTTAT